ATTGCTGGATCAAGAAGTTGTATACAAGAATAAGCGATGGAGTTGGGATTAGGGGGAAGGGATAATACTCTTCTATAATCTGCATTTTTCCCTTCTTCTTGTTTTGCGCTTCGGTGTAGCTGAGAACTGGGTCAGCTAAACTTCGTGTACAAAAATTTGGGATTTACCTCTCCTATCTGATGCAGAGAAATATAGGCGGAACGAGCAAAAAACAGCTTTATCTGCCGCTTTCATCTGATTTTGTCTTATGAAGATCAATTGCTGCATCATATCCAGACCTGTAGGGGCAAGGAGGTTGGCAGAGGGCATTCCTCCGCAAGTGATTTGATCGTTATGGTAGAGGTAAAGAAGACTCGCTTCCGTATCACCCATATCTCGTTACTGTTCTAATAAAAGCTGTAAACTGATCGGCTTTTGATTTGGATCTTGAAAATTCCATTGCAGTGATTGGATTATAAGGCAGCAGTTTATAGGCTGTTGACCTTGACGGTTATGTCACTGCTCTAGAAAATCTTGAGAGTGAAGATGAACGAAACGAGGAAAAGGCTAATACTGCTGCACCATCATCTTCAGACGAAACACAGCATCAGGTTCACTGTACTTTGTCATGGCGTTTCCTTTTTGATAAGCATGTTGTTTGAGGTCGATTCTTGTACTTTCGGTGATGAAGAGAGTATCTATGAGACTTCGGATGAGTTACCTCCTACGGATCCTCCAGCTGATGTACCGAATACTCCGGTAAGTCTTGAAACAGCTTTACTAATAAGTCTGCAATGAGCCCTGTTTCAGATGTTTTCTGCTCGTGCTGCCTGTGCCGGTGACGGAGTTGAAGAGGAAGAGAACGACGTAGTAGAAGATCTTGCGAAGGTGAGTCTCCACCTAAAGCATACCAGGTGCCTTCACACGGGTTTCTTTCAGTGGAGAACGAATTATGACGATAGACCTATTTGCCCACTCCCTACTCCATTTCGAAAGGTGAGGAAGTGCCAGAATATTTACTATGTGTGATTTTTCGAAATTCTCTGCTCAGTGTATTTCGAATCTATTTTTTGTTGTTTTGGTTTGTTCAAATGGCAGGGATCTAGGTCAGGAAATTGTTTTTGTTATCAACTTATTTTTAAATGCACTTGTTTTCATTGGCGCACAGCGTACTATTTTCTTAGATTAAGATTTACGAACTTTTGAGAACTGTTTATTTTCCAATCGAAGACTGTTTATTTTTTTTATAAAATGATCTTTTCTGAAAATGCAAATTCTCATAACTACTCGTCAACTTTTGCAAAATTTTATGAAGTGCAACTATTTACTAATCCTTAACATGATACAGCGAGATCTAAGAATTATGTTTCTCATGCACTTAGGTTCATATTCTTGCTCTGCAGTGCCTTTATCTCGTTTGATATGCGATCATGGTAGTGCCGTTTACATACGTGGCAAGCCGGAGAACTATTTTTGGGAAGTCCATTTCGAAATCATTTATTGTAATCCCCAAGAATTGCGTAAATTGTGATTTGTTGTGCTCATTTGAGCTATAGTTACCCCTTCTGTAAGCTTAGATAATGAAGTTTATAGAATTGGATATATCAAGGACGCGTTTTGCTTTGCTCACTGTAGTCTATCCATTAAAAGGAGTGGCTCGCAAGTTTGAGACTTAGCCTTGTGTACAAATTGTTTG